AAAACCAAAGATCACAAGAAAACTACAGACCAATATCTCTCATGATCATAGATGCAAAAATCTTCAACAAAATATTAGCAAATTGAACCCAACAATGTACAAAAAGAATTATACACCATGACCAAGTGGGATTTATCCCAGATATGCAAGGCTGCTTTAACAACCGAAAATCAATTAATGTAATCCATCATATCAATAGACTAAAAAGGAAAAAGTCACATGATCATATCAATAGATGCAGAAAAAGCATCTGACAAACTCCAACATCCACATTCATGATAAAAACTTGGTAAATTAGGTTTATAGGGGAAACTGTCTGAACTTGACAAAGAATATCTATAAAAAACTACAGCTAAAATCAGACTTAATGGTGAGAAACTCAAAGCTTTTCCCACTAAGATCAAGTAAAAAGGCAAGGATGTCTTCTCTCACCACTCCTTTTCAACATTGCACTAAAAGTCCTTGCCAATACAATAAGTCAAGAAAAGGAAATGAAAGGTATACAGATTGGGAAGGCAGACATAAAACTATTGTTCACCAATGACATGACTACCTACGTAAAAAAAAAAAAACCTGAAACGACAACAAGAAAACTCCTGGAACTAATAAGTGATTATAGCAAGGTTGCAGGATACAAAGTTAATATAAAAAGCCAATTGTTTTCCTATATATCGACAATGACTAAGTAGAATTTGAAATGAAAAACACAATACTATTTACATTAGCACCTCCCAAAATGAAATATTTAGGTATATATCTAACAAAATATATATGAGGTCTATTTGAGACAAACTACAAAACCAACAAATGAAATTAAGAACTAAATAGAGAGATATTCCATATTTATGGATAGGAAAACTCAATATTGTCATGCTGTCATTTCTTCCTAATTTGATCTATAAATTCAATGCAATCTCAATCAAAATCCCAGCACGTTATTTTGTGGTTACTGACAAAATGATTCTTAAGTTTATGTGGAGAAGCAGAAGACTCATAATATTGTGTGGCTAACACAATATTGAAAGAAAATAAAGTCGAAGACTGACACTACCCACCTTCAAGACTTACTATAAAGTTACAGTAATCAAGACAGTCTGGTATTGGCAAAAACAGACAATAGATCAATGGAACAGCACAGACAGCCCAGAAATAGATCCCCATAAATATAATCAACTGATTTTTGACAAAGGAACAAAGACAGTACAATGGAGCAAAGATAGTCTTTTCAACAAGTGGTGCTGAAAAAAACTGAATATCCACATGCAACATAAATAAATCTAGACAAAGACCTTACACACTTTGAACAAATTCAAAATGGATCACAGACCAAAATGTAAAACAAAAACTATGTAACTCCTAGGAGATAACATAGGAGAAAACCTAAATGACCTTGAGTATCACGATGCCAACACAAATGACATGAGTCATTAAAGAAATAAATTAATTAAAAAGCTGGACATCATTAGAACTAAAAACAACTATTCTGTGAAAGATAATATCAAGAGAAGTGGAAGACAAGCCATAGGCTGGGCAAAAATATTTCCAAAAAATATAGCTAATAAAGGACTATTATTCAAAATATACAAAGAACTCTTAAAACTTAACAGTAAGATAACAATCTGATTAATAAATAGGCCAAAGATCTCAACCAACACCTCACTTATATGGATGGTGAATAAACATATGAAAAGATGCTGAACATTATATGTCATTAGAAAAATGCAAGTTAAAATAACAAGATACCACTACACATCTATCAGAATAGCCAAAATCTGGAACACTGACAACACTCAATGGTGGTAAGGATGTGAAACAACAGAAACTCCCATTCAATAACAGTAGGCATACAAAATGGTACAGCCACTCTGATGGTTTCTTACAAAACTACACATAATCTTACCATCCCATTCGGCAATCATGCTCTTTGGTATTTACCCAAAAGTTGAACACTAATATCTACACAAAAACTTGCACAAGGATGTTTATAGTAGCTTTATTCATAACTGCCAAAACTTGGAAGCAATCAAGACATTCTTCAATAGGTGAATGGGTAAATCGTGGTACATCCAGACAAGAGAATATTATTCAGCACTAAAAAGAAGTGAGCTATCAGCCCATGAAAAGATATGGAGGAATCTTAAATGTATATTGCTAAGTGAAAGAAGCCCATTTGAAAGGGCTACAAACTGATTAATTCCAACTATATGACATTCTGAAAAAGGCAAAACTATAGAGACAATAAAAAGACCAGTGGTTTCCAGGGGTTAGGTGGGGAGAGACGAGTAGGTAGAGAACAGGATTTTTAGGGCAGTGAAAATGCTCTGTATGATATTATAATGATGGATATTTGTCATTATACATTTGTCCAACCGAACAAAAAGTACTTTGCCAAGAATGAACTCTAAACTATGAAGTTTGGGGGATGGTAATGTGTCAGTGTAGGTTCATCCTTGGTAATAAATGTACCCCTGTGGTGAGGGATATTGATAATGATGAAGACTACGCATATATGGGGATAGAAGATATATGAGAAATCTCTGTACTATACTCTCAATTTTGTTATAAACCTAAAACTGCTCTAAAAAAATCAAATCTTTCAAAAAAATATCTTACATGTATGATATATTTCATAATAACAAATTTTTAATAATTAAAAAAGGGTGGTCAACTATAACAAATGCTGTGGACATATCAAAAATAGGAGGACTAAGAACTGACCCCTTGGTAGTACAAAGACCTCAACAAGAGCAGTTTTGAAAAAAACATTTTTTAAGGCAATATTTACCCAAGTAGTAAAGAAAGTAACTAGAATAAAAGATATGAATACCCTTTATGCAGAAAAGTATAAATGTGTATCGAAACACATTAAAGAAACCTAAATAAGTGGAAAAACACACCAAACATTCTTGTGTAGACAATACAATATTGTAAAGATTCTAACTGTCCCTGAATAGGTCTTCGAGAATCAATGCAATTCCCATCAAAATCTCCAAGTAATATTTGTCAAGCTAAAATTAAACCATATAGGGGGAAAAGGGGCCAAGAATAGCCAGGGTGATTCCCAAGAATATTAGGATGCTCTCTACCATTACCCTCCATCCCCATTTCACACAGACATACAAGCATTTAAAAATGATAATATAGACAAATAGACCAATGAATAGAATAAAAAACCTTAAAACAAACCCAATCACATATATAAACCTGATATGACAAATTTGGAACTGTACATCAATAGAGAAGGACAGAATGTTCGATAAATAATGCTGGCATAACTGATAGAACTCTACCTTATTCCAACCACACAAATGAATTCCAGGTAAAGTTAAATATGAAAAAAATAATTTAAAAAATCTTTACAAGGTACCATTATAACATTTGGCAGCATAGCAGACTATTAGTTGCTTACAACTTGTCTGCACCAGTATTTTATAGAGCTGAAGCTGTACATATTTAGAGTATCCACTTGAAAGAAATTCTGGCACAAGGATATCTGTTAAAATACATTTCGAATAGTGAAAAGACAGAAATAATCCAAGTAACCATCAACAGGGAAATGGATAAACTGTGGTTTAGTTGTACTAGAAAATCCAGATATTAAAACCAATTAGATACACATCTAGATATGTATTTAGATACAAAACAAAAATATGAGTAAAAAGCAAACTGCAGAAACATTCTATATAGCATTTACTTAAAACTGTAATAAAACAAAAATACTGTATGTTATTTATGCACGCAGGCATATGTAGAAGTATAAAACTATTTACAGGAATATATCTCTGACAAGAGTAGAATGAGGAAAGGGACTTTAGCTGTATCTACAGCATTTTATATCTTTTAAAAAGACGAAAGAAAAGAAAAAAAAGAAAAGAAAGAAAGAAAGAAAGAAAGAAAGAAAGAAAGAAAGAAAGAAAGAAAGAAAGAAAGAAAGAAAGAAAGAAAGAAAGAATAACAATAAAATAAATAAAAGACATCTAAAACAAATATGGTAAAATGTTGAAATAAGTAAAATTAGCACAGTAGGTAATATGAGTGTCTACTGAATTATTTTGTTTGAAATATTTCATAATTTTAAAGTCTGAATTACTTTTTTTAATGAAATAAAACCACTGTACTAAAAGATTTTTAAAGGTAACTACCAGTTTTCATAGCACTGATCATAAACTGCCACCTACTACTGCTGTGGTGTCCATGTTTTCCCTCTCTAACCAATAAATCCTGAAGGGATTATCGCCTTCTCAACAACTAGCACGGTGCCTAACATAAGCAGCTATTAAATAAGTATTTGATAAACAACTAAATAGACCTCTTTTTTTAAAAAGATGTAAAACTTTGAGGGTTTAAAACGTCATTGTAAATAGACCTCTTGATACAAACTTCTCCAACCATCTGTACCCGCACGCAGTCATTTTGATATTATTTAATTATTAAAGTAATCAAATTTCTGGCTTTTCTGATCTTATTCCTTCATAACCCATAGTTCTTTCTTTTTTAATGGTTTTTCTAAGTTCTCTTTTTTGTAGGTTTTCTGGTAACCTTCAGTATTCCTTCGGTCAACATAGATTCATCTCCCTTTATAAATTTATGAAACTCATTCCTGAACTTATGCCATTATCTTCTGAAAGATATCCACATTGTTTTAAGACTCCTTTGAATCTTAGGTTTTTCTCAAAAGAGGTCTTCCTTTAATTCTTTTATCTCAATTTAATTTCTCTCATTTTGCTGACTTCTACATTTATTTAGATACAAACAGAATTGAATTTGATGTCATTTCTTATAAAGTTTTCATCTACCTTCAGAATCCAAAGTTATTGTTTTATAGAAGGTGACTGAGCAGGATTTAGAAAGGTTGAGAATTCAACAACTAAATAAAATGCCCATTTGAAAAGGGGCCCGACGCAAAAGAGCATTATATAAAGGTTTTAAAACAAACAAACAAAAAACACTAATCAAGTAAATTAGGAAACAGAACATGTACAAGTAGAAAAGATTCTCACATGAGTGGTCTGACGAGATGTTGTGTGGAACCAAAACAAAGTCATCCGTGTCACAAGAAGAGTTCTTGCTACTAGTACTGGCAGAATCTTTGGACACTTGTAGATAGTTGGGAGGACCCAATGGTGGGGAGGATAAATTCTCTTCCTGAATATGCTGTATATCTGGAAGGGACTAAAATTAACAACATAAAATTAAAACTGGCCTAATAACAAAGTGCAAGTCAGAGTAGCCATTAGACTAAAGAATATTTTTTTCATAAAAGTGGACATGAAGTTCAATTCCATCTAAAATTTCAAAAAAAATAATCTCTTTGGATAAAGACTTCTTAAATATTTTCCAAAACTAATATTGAAAAACATTTCATGCCACTTATCACATGTATCTGTCTGCCTCTCCTGAAATTTTTGAGAAGTTGAGTTTTGATCATCTCAACATCCCCAGTTTCAGCTCACGGCCTAGCAAAGCAGATACTCAGTAATTGTTCACTTAATGACTAAAAAATGTCCAGAGACTTAAATGACATCCTGTACTACTCACACAAAGTTTTAAATCTCTAATGAAGAAAACATTATAAACAGGAAAGCAAGAGACCATATTATGTAAAAAAATAAACAAGTCAATAAGGATAACGGCATTGTAGCCTAGAGATTTATTAACACTCACAGAAAGAAAGATTTGGAAAACCTTACAGGTGTGGGTGTATTCCTTTTATTTTTCTTTCAGAGAGGAAAGAGATGTTTTGTGGGAGATAGGACAAGAAGAGAAGAAAAGCATGTAAATGCATTTAAACAAATAGGCGTAAGTAGCTATCTTTTGGCACTTAACCTAGTTCAAGGCCTCTAGTGACAACTCTAATGTCTCAATTATACAATGGTTTTCTAAACAATAAACTCATAAATTACTATGTATTGTGTTAAGTCTCTATTATCCCATTTAAATTTTGTTTCTATTTTTAAAAAAAGTACTACATAAACCTGTCTTAAAACACCCAGTTCACTGCTGGTGCTTCTTTGAATATCACTGTGCAATGAAATCAGTCTCAAATCTCAATCTCTTCTTTTTGTGAGACATGTACACATGACATAAAATCTCCTTATCACTTTTTGAAGAGAACTCATGTATCAAGGTTTTAAAGGGAGGGGAAATTAAAAAGACTAACTACTGAACATCAACCATTGTTAAGAGCTTTCCACGTATTATCTAACTTTAGCCCTGTTCTGAAATCCATTTCATTTTTAAATGAACAAAACTCAGAAGATTAGAAAACTTGCCTAAGATCACAAAACTAAAAAGCAGTCAAGTTGAGATGTGATTCTAAGTATGTCTACTTATTTCCAGTGTTTAGGCAGAAACTTTCTGAATTTCTTCCTCTGCTATTTATAAAATTATCTGCATCTACAATTATCTTGGTGGAAGAGATGCTTCATACATTCAAAGCTATATCTCTACCTGTGTTTTAATTCCATTTCTTTCTACCTCTTCAAGGATCTAGATCAACTCCCCTCTGCTCCTGACACTTTCACCCTCTCTTTATTCTGGCTTTTTCCTTCTTTGTACATAAACACATTTAATTTTCTCAAATCTCAAATCCCTAAAACCTTCTCAATTACCATTTTCTCTTGCTTCTTAACAAATATTTCTTGAAATTATCAAACTTTAGTGACTCAAATTTCTCACCTTCCACGTATTCCATAACCCACCATAATTGATTTTCCGCTTCCAACCTTCCAATAAAATTGCCTTTATTAAGCTTACCAATAACTCCCATTGCCAAGTTCTTGTGGACACTTTCTCTATTCTCTAAGATCCTTGTATTCTCTGCTGTGCCTGCGCTGTGGACCATTCTTTTCTTGACACTCTACCCCCTTATTCAGGGACCCTGCTCTCTTGCTTTTCCTTCTAATTCTTAGTCTCTTTTGTGGGTACTAGCTTCTCATTTGCCCCTTAAATGAGAGGAGTAGAGTGAGAAATTCTCCAAGGTGCCACCCTGGAAACTATTCCTCACACTTTTTATACGCACCCCAGTGACCACTCTTACTCTGCCCAGATTCTCTCCCATGAGTTCTAGACCCCTCTGCTCACTTGCCTGTACAACCCTAATTCATCACCTTTATACTCCAAAGCATGCTCCCATACTGAGTGCCTTATCATTATCCATCCATTCAGTGCCATCAAGGTTTCCCTCTTCCTTAAGTTCTAAGTTCAAGCAATCTTCAAGCTCTGCAAACTCTTTATCTTTCTCTCACCTGCTTCCCCCGCCCCCTTCTCCCTTCTCCTTTCCTACTGCCACCTTAGTTCAGGCTCTCATTCTCAACAAAACAAAAAACAAAAAAAAGTTGGAACAGTCTTGGGTTATTCTGATTCCTCTAGTAGAGAAACCTCTCTACTCTCTACTTGTCTCCAATCTAGTCTTCCACCCTGCTTTTGGAAGAATCTAGCTAAAACACAGAGTGGATCATATCACACCTTCACTTAAAATCAAATGACTCACTACAACTTTAAGGATAAAGTTTGAACTCCTTTGCTCAGTGCCCCAATTGTCAAGATACAGCCTCTCCCTACCTCTCTAGCTTTATCTCCACTATACTACCAATGTTCTCTACATTCACCAGACTGAACTACTTAGAGAAGCCTTGTCCAACAGAACTTCCTGCAATTATGGAAAAGTTCTATATCTGAGCTGTCCAGTATGGTAGCCATTGGCTATATATGGCTACTGAGCACTTGAAATATGACTAGTATGACTAAGAAACTGAATTTTAAATTTCATTTAATTCTAACAAATTTAAATTTAAGTGGCCATGGAGAGCTACAGAGTTCCTTCAGTGGGTCATGCTTCCATGACTTCATGAATGGAGAGTTATCTGCCTAAAATACCATACTTTTACTAAATTACCTTGCTAACTCTTCAAACCTCAGCTCAATGTCCTCTTCTGAGCAGCATTCCTTAGTTCTTGGCCTGATTTCATACCCCTCGTCCACATTCCCACAGGTAATAAAGATATATATACACACATGCTTCTAAGAGTGATTGACTTATTTTCCTCTTCACCACACAATTAAATTAAAAACCCTTTAATGTAAGAGATCTGGTCAAACCATTCATTAGTGTCAACCAGAACCTCACACAAAGTAGGCATCTGATAAATGTCATGAAATCAATAAATTGATATTTAAGAGATATTATATCTAAATAGCATTTAACCTATAGCCGGTATCATAACTAAAAGAATGATTTGGATTTGCTATGTTTTTTTTAAATATTTTTGACTTTCAAGGATTTCTCTGTAGCAGCTGCATATTTCTATGAGAATATTTTTTAAAAAGAATGTTATATGTGTGCGCCTGTGTGTATTAACTCTCAGTAAGAGTTCACTCCAGCCCTAGGAAGAAAGGAAATACATGTATAATATCATCTTACATTTGGCAGACGTTTTTAAAACCAAGGCCTGTAAAACCTGCCATTTTTTAATCTCACTAACTGGAAAATATACAGAAATGTTCCTGCTTTCCTTTTATTCCCTAGCTTTCCTTTTTATTTTCACTCCAGGCATTAGCTTTTAATAAAGGCCTTCTAAAAATGTTTTTCCACCAAAGTTTTTAGCATCTAAATATGCCTCCTCTCTCCCTCCTGCATCTCCTCACTCCTCCTGTCAGCACTCCATTCTGCTCTTCCCCAGTTTTAAGAATTGTCTGCTTGCAATAGGATGATTAGCATCTGCTTTAGTTATGGGCAATTAAGTTTCACTGGAAAATAATAATAGCAGTTGCCACCTCCTGAGTATTTGTGTGTCAGGCACTGTAGTAAGTGCTCTTTGTTCCATTTATCCATTCAAAACCCCATGAAGTAGGTAAATTATACTACTTTACATATGAGAAACAGGCTCAGAGAGATAAAGTCACCTGTCCTAGTTAACATGGCAAGTAAGGGTTGTGGAAGCTCCCAAGCCCCATACTTTAAACCTCTGATGGCCTTAACCTGCTAATATATAATCACCTCCTTTGTGGCTCCCCCACCCTTTTGCCAGCAGAATTCAAGAAACTCATGTTGCCAAACTAATCTGGAAAATACAATAGGCACAAGAGCCCTTCGACCTTCAGTTTCTAGAAAAGCCTCAACGTTACAATCCTCTCAGACTGCAACAGAGATTGAGGGGGAAGGGTCAGTATAGAAAAGTAGACAAGAGAGTAAAATAAGACCCTGGGGGAGTAAAGTGGGAAGAAGTAGTGACCAGAAGTGACCAGAAGTCCTCAGGAAGAAGCACTTAGACTGGAGAGAAGACAGAGGAAATGGCTTGGGAACCTCAGCGAGAGGAAGAGGTTGAAATGGAACAACCTGTAGAACAATCTTTTACAGGGCCAGTAAACATGATTAAGAAAATCTAAAATCAGTGGAACCTGACTCAAGGGTCACTCCTCCACCACTGGAAATTCTATGTATGATAAATATCCAAATTGTTTGTGACATTCAGATAAAATATGTATTACCTATCCACCCGTAAGACGTACTCTCTGTTTGTAAGTGTCATCCTTCCCAACCCACAGGGCATGAAAAGGTGAGAGTAGCTGTTCAAAGGAAAGCAGCTCAGAGAGGTAACATTTCTTGCTGAAGCATACACAGCTAAATAAAGGGAGAGGTCTAAATATAGGTCCATTTGATACAACAATAATGCTCTTTCCTTAAGCCTCAGCTGCATTAGTAAACACTATACATAAAGAATATCCACGATGTATTTGCACTCTGTAAACAAATGCAATAGCACGAACTCTGAAATTATTTTTCATAAAACTATAACTTACTGGTGGAGAGGCAAAACGACAAGGTGGAGAGCTGCCACAAGAGCTTCCAGAGACAGAGCCAGCATACACGGGCACCGGAACTGGGCAGGCTGCAAGAAGAAACACAGATGAAGAGAAACACCACTTTGTAGTTCCATTACATGACTTGTCTAATAGAAAAGCCTGTCAACACTACTACATCTTTGCGTTCACCAAAAATTCACATTTATCTATTTATTTAGAGCTCCCATGGATGAAATGAAAAATGCAGCATTAAAACTATTTCAACTTGGATTTGGAAAGAAAAACAGAACTGTTATTAAATGCAACTACAGTATTTAAGAAAAGCTCAATGAAATCTTGAGAAGCGCAGTAAAAAATCACTTTTGTAATACAAAATACTAATTTTTCCCTAAGCCTGGACTCACTTTTCAGTAAAAATGCAAGAAGGAGGTTACTCACATTTTTTTATTGGAACTTGCTCAAGGAAAGGATGACTAAAAAACGCTTCTGTAATGAAAAATGAGAATGCAACTTTTAAACTGATGTTGACTAGCAGATAGGTTAATCTTGTCAATGTAGTCAACATAACATCTTTGAGATCATAAATAATTACTATTAACTTCTTTATGTTGCCACCATTTCCCTTAAATGTAAAAGCATATTATTTTTGTAAATCATCTATAAAATTATCAAATTATAAGTAATTCTTAATCAATGAACAATTTTAAATTGTGAATTTTCAAAACATCCATTACCAACACAGCACATCCTAAGGCAAATGAAGTAGACATGCTCTCTAGTATGGGCCATCTTCAAGCAGACAACCTCATGGAGTACTGTACTGTGACCAATCCCTTGCTAAGCATATTTTTGAACTCTGGAAGTTTGTTGTCCTAAGTGGAAATCTAGGTAACTGATTTGTACAATAAATTCTATTCTTCTATTGCAGAAGAACTATTTCTGCAGCCAGTTTCACATTTTTAAAAAAGCTATTAATTTAATTTCTATACTATCCACCAAGAATAAAAGCTAAACAATAAGCCTGCTAATTAGATAAATAGATGAGTAAATGATAGTTCATTATTTTACACTCTTTAATTTCCTGTATGTAAATCATTTCACTATTTCTTTAAAAACCCACAAAGATAATCTCATTTATCATTAAGTCTCCAACTTGTGTGATATTAAGTATCATACAATAGGCAAGAAAATAGCACAGTATCAACATGGAAGTTTATTTGATAATACAAGATCAGAAATAAGCTTAACCCAGGTCTAGTCTTAATTGTCTTCAACTCTGAAGGATCCCATGAGTTTCATTGAAATTAATGCCCAAAGCTTCTCAAAGTAAAATATCAATCACACTTGCTAAGGAAAGAAAATGTGGAGGGTTTTGAAGAGAAACATAAATTTTCTATCTTAGTCTTTTTTAGAACAAAATTAATATACATATCAATAAATTCTAGTTTGACATGTAAGACTTTTTAATGCTGACTACAAAGGACATAATAGAGATCAGATAGAAAAGATATAAATAAAGAAACTAGAGAGACTGAATGCAAATACTCTGAAACCATCTTCTAAATCAATTGCTATGGCATGGAAAGTATATAAATATTTAATATAATATATAATTTTAAAACTATTATCCATGCGTATGCTGTTTCACTGTTGATCTCATGGTTACAGAACAACCCTCAGCTTAATTTCTCCCTCTTAAAGATAAAAATATTTACCAACTACATGAACAGAAGTTTAATTCCAATTTTATAAAACTTAAGAAAATATATATTCAGACTACTTTATCTTTCCCCCTATACAGAAGCTAGAGCTATCATCTACTGAGGACATTTACTAGGACAATGAACTGAGTGTTTCACATACCAGTTTTTCATTCAATCCTTACAAACTTTATACAAGTATTATCTTCTTTTTATGAACAAGGAAATTATAGCACATAAAGGCCATGCATCTTCTCCAATGTCGAAAAGCTAGTAAGTTGAGGGACTAGAATTGAACCCTAGTCTGTCTTATCCAGAAGCTTATGTGGATTTCCATTAATATACATTCACGGACCAAAATTCTAGAGTACAGTTTTACAAATTTCTATTTTTATTACAACTATTACTATAGAAACAAATCAAACAGTTTTTTTTCTTAAAAATTTGAAAATCAGTGTTGATTTGATGATTATTTTCATTAAACATGTTTTATGGGTTTTCTGGTCTGACATGTTCAAGTCTTGCTGTTTTTACATAAGAGTGATAAGAACAAGTTAACAAACTATCCCCCAAAGAGGAACTGAGAGCCAGTTTCAAGGATAAATGTTCTCTCAAAATCTTCAAGAACCGGATAACCCCTACAATATTAAGTATTCCAAGTTTTCATTACACGTGAAGTGGTAAAATAGTATTTGAAAATAGATTGTGATACATTAAAGTACTTAGAGGAAAATTTTTAGCTGTAAATGCTTGTATTATAAAAGGTTCAAAAGCAATGATATGAGCTTCCACCTTAAGAATCTAAAATTCTAAGACAGAAGCTGTGGCCTCCAAGAGGCGCCCGTAGCCTGCTCTTGTAAAGCAATGGTATAAGCCAAGCTACCACAGAGCACATGTTCACAAGAGTAGCCATAAAAAGAGATGCCCCTCCCTGGCTCCCTAAACCCATCGTTTGAGGTTAGGGACTTTTCTACCAGGATTCTGGGGTGTTTCTCCTCCATTCTTTCTTCTAGAACTTTTCCTAAATATTTCCCCCTATACCTCTCCTCTGATACCATCTGCACTTAGATGTCAAATGGCCATCGTAAATTTAACATGTCTAACCTAAACTAATCTTGCCCCTACAGCCTGCTTTATCCTCATGATCCTTCCCATCTCTGTGACTGACAACTCCATCCTTTCAGTTGCTCAGGCCAAAAATCATGGAGTCATCTTCGAGCCTTCACTTTTCTCACACCCCACATCCAATTCATCTGTAAATACTATTGCTTTTACCTCCAAAAATAGCCAGAATTCAACAATTTCTCACCACCTCTGTTGCTGTTGTCTCCTGATTAGCAACCCAGCTTCTTCCCTCTATCTCCCACTATCCCTCACCAGTCTGTTCTCAACAAGCAACCGGACTGATCCTTTTAAAAACATTAGATACATTATTCCTTTGTTCGACATCCTCCAATGGTTCCCCATCATACTTTAAGCAAAAGCCCAAGTCTTTAACTGCATACATGGTATGTTCTTAGCTCTAGGCATTTGTACTGACTATCCACTCTGCCCGAAAAGCATTTCCCATAGATATCCATATGGCTTGCTCACTCTCTAACCATCTGTCAATCAAGTCTTTGTTCAAATGTCACTTTCTCAGAAAGGTCTTCACTGACTATCTTATTTAAAATTTCAACCCCCATCCACCCCCATTTCTCTTCCTCCTTTAATTTTTTTCCATAGTACTATAAGCAGATCATTACAATTTTTAATTTGTTTGTGTCTTTCCTCCACTAGAATATATACATCATGAGAACAGGGATTTTGTTGATTACTCTATTCCCCATACCTAGAACATATTGAGCACTCAATAAATATTTACAAAAGAAGTGAAAGAAAAAAGACAGATAAAAAGGAAAGTAAAACTGACTTTAATTTTCTCCTGAAACCGCCACAGTATCCTTTTATTAAAAATTTTCAGAATACACAGAAATAAAATTACGAAGTATGTAAAATTTGAAAATATTACTTACCAAAGTCCATTCTGTCTTTTTGGTTTCTCTGAAGTAAACCCAAAAGGAGATTAGCCAAATAAGGTGATGTCTCTCTGGGAATGCTGAGGGAAAGGGGAAAAAAACAAACTAAGTGGTGAGTTTATGTATATTAACTACATGACTTTTGCCTTCAATATGGGAAATGAAAATATATACTCAATTTCACATATCTGCATTGAATGAATAAAGCACTTTGCAGGCACACAATCTGGAGTTTAAAAGAACTTCAAACTGGCACTAATAGTTGCTATAGATTTCTCTATTAATTAAATTAATACCTAATTAATCCTCCCTGATTTGTGAGGCATCGAGTCTGATAACATGCCATCTTGGTAAAAATGTGGGAAAAGGAGCACTCTGCTATGTAAATACAAACAGCCAATTTGCAGAAAATACCTTTCGGTCTAGTCAGTCCAACAATTCCATTTCTAAGAGTCCTAAAGAATGCACAAATATATCCCCCTCCAACACTCACCTCTTTCTCTCTCTCTCTCCCTGCTCTAGTGCTCTTGCTTTCTACTAAAGTCTGTTTGTTATAACCACAAAATGAAAACAAGGATCTGATTAAACATGATAAATGTAACTATGAGACTATGTAGCCATTTAAAAGAATGCAATAACTGCTGAACAATGTCTATGCTATACTACAGAGTAAAAAAAGTTGCAGAACATTTTGCAAAGAAAACATGATGCAATTTGTATTGAGCCATGTGTGTGTATATAAACTATTACATAATCAAGACTCAAACATGTAAAAAGACCTTGCACGAAAAATTATTTAGAAAGATACACAGCAGACTTATCCCTAGAAAGCAGGGGAAGGTCTAGGGGGAATTTACTTTCTACTTCATGTACATCTATTCTGTTTGTATCTCCTTCCCCCAAAGAACACTTATATAACTTTGTTTTTTCTTTTAAATATACTTAACGTTTTTAAAAACAAAGATATTGGTACACCACCACACAGGCACCTATGATGCACTAGTAATTTTCTAATTTCCTATTATAACAAATGATCCAATAATAGAAATACATAAAACACAGAGTTCAAATAAATAACATTGTATTCACAAATAGTAAAACCCACTATAATCAAAACACATACCTAGGCATTAAGCTCCTATTTTTTTCATAAAACATCCTTAGGTCTTGAGGACTATTGGCCTGTTTAAAAAAAAAAGGAAGAAGAAGAAGAAGAAGAAAAGGTTTAATTTCCTAAATAACAGGGGCAAAAATTCCAAATCATATGACTGATGCCCATATTCTTGCTATAGAACACAGATTCTGAACTTAAAAGCCATGGATTGCTGAAGGAGCAATAGGGGGGCACCAGGAACTTAGAAAATCTCTGAAATTATATGCAAATTACACATATCTGGGCATAATGTAGCTTTTCTGAGGTCGGACTCTCAGAGACGCTTGAAACTTAGAAAAGGTTCAGAACCACTATTCTGAAGGTTAAGAACCTCTCTCCATTCAAAGCTTACCCAACAGGTTCGTTTTTATTACGTAAAATCAAGGTATACTTTACCTTACGACCTTCAAGGGATTACTACTTTTCAGTCTCTGCATAGCAACAAGCAGCTCCCTTTGGACAGGATGTTAGAGAAAAAGAGGAAAAGGAGACAGACCCAAAATAATTTCCATAAAGCCTAAACAATTAACTCTCTCTCACTCAGCAGTAACAGGAATAGACACCTGGAGACACAGTTTCCAGTGATCTTCTCAGACCAGCCCTAGCCCCCACTTGGAGTCTAAGATCTGAAAGCCAGGCTAAGCAGGAAGCGCTGACATCCATTTTCTTCCAGGTTGTTAATTCTGACCCTCACTAGTTACCACTACCCTGGAAAACATAACATGCTTCATGCTCAGTCCAACTGCAAAGGAAAAGCAGACAAAAAAGGAAAAGCAAAAGATGTTCTGGGTCACAGCAGTTTTTGCCTGTAACAAAATCAAAATAAGTCTTAAAGGAACCAAAAACACTACTTTCAAAGTATTCCCCATTTTTAAGTCAAAGGCAACCGCAAAATGAGAACCCAAAACTGAGCACATAAGAAAAAAGTCAAGCTACCTGAAAAGGTGGTTTTCCAACTAGGCATTGATATATCACTGTTCCTATGCTCCACAAGTCTGCTTTAGCATCATAATGTTGAGACATAATAACCTCAGGAGCCTGGGGATAAAAACATTCGAAAGACACATATTATGTTATTTATATAATTAATATGCATGTTAACTGGAAAGGTCACACTGCTAACAAAACTAAAATAAAAATAACACATTGTGATATTTCCCTAATAAAATTATACCATAATGAATATAAGAATAAACTACATTCTTACATGAAAAGAATGTTGCATGAAAAGAAGTTGTAAAAACAAGCATTTCTATATATTATTAAGGACATACAAAATACAGTAAGAGTGTTAAAATAATAATAAAGAAATATAACACCAATTATAGGAAAGGTTATTTTTGGGGTATGAGAGTAGAAAAGTGGGAAATGGGAAAAGGGAGAGGTACAAAAGGAACTTGGATTGTCTCTGAAGTATTTTATTTCTTTCTAAAAAAAGATCAAAGCAAACATGGCAAATCTTCATTTTAAATACGTACAATAGGTATATAACTCTGCTATCTTATTCCTTTTTTTCTGTCATTTGAAAGCTTTTAAAATAACAGAAAAACTGTAATGCCAAACAATAATGAAAACTGTCTTAAAAGCAAAGGCATTTCTCCAATGCTTTGTTACAGCTATTTTCCCATTTCAGATTAGATGTTCTTTTAAAAAATATCATCAATTAGGACAAATATTTTTTAAAATGTCAGATACACTTTAAAATAGTAAAATTTTATTTTCCAGGCATAACATTTTTATTGTCCCTTGTAAATTTCTTATTGAGTTAATTTCCTTTAAAAATCAGCCCAAAGCTATTAGTTGAAATAATTTCATACTCAAGAAGTACAAAATAATTTTAAGTTATATTAAATTATAAAATTTATCATATAAGCAGTAAAATTATGATCAAGAAAGTAAAGCTAATGCAAAAAACTTTTTTTGAACTTTGATTACCAGTTCCCTCGATCTCAAAGTTGATTTTAAGTTAGAAGAAATCTTATTAAACATAAACCCACTTTAAACTTAGAACTGAAACAAGGTACATTTATTTACTTTGTAGGATTATGAAGTTTCCGAATTAAAGTATTTCCAGGCTTAATACTTCACATTAGTTCAGAAGTTTCATAGCCTTACCCTATCAGATATGGCAATATCCATATGAAAGGATAAAGAGGAAAGCTAAGATTTTTCAGCTTTAAGTGTGACACTGATGGAAAAAATGTCTAAGATATAGAGACCTTGTCAAGATTAGAACATGCAAAAGGTGAGTATATCCTATAGCTGAAGAGGTGCTCCCAAAAGGTCTTTAAGTATTCCTAACATTACACATCATGTATAGCATGGTCATAATTCATCAATTTTTATTTTCAATTTAATCAAATAGATTTGTAGCATAGCTAATTTTATGAAAAAATGAAAACCAAGAGGCAAAGATTACTAACTTTTATTACAGTCCACTATGCTAAAGCAAAAGATGTCTGCATTATAGCATTATCAGTAATATACTTAATGTTAGTAATATAAATAACAATTTAGACCATATATAAAATCACACACTACTTGGAAACAAGCATTATGTTTAAATTCCAATGCTTATAGCACTCTGCTATAAACACATAAGGAAGCAAACACTCACTCACCATGTACATTGGAGAGCCACACAATGTTGCAGCCATCATGTTACTATGTAGGTAACGAGCAAAACCAAAATCCGCTATTTCACAAAACAAAAAAGAGAAAAACAAATGATACCTTTACTCACACTTAACATAGATCCTATGATTCTTCAAGACACAGGAGGGCATGAAAGAATTGAGAAATTAACCACCACTAAAAAAGATTATTTATCAAAGAAAAAAGTAGCTACCTCAATTTTGACAAGTAAAGAAAGAGCAGTAATCACCAACTTCACAAGTCACTCACTGCTCTGCCAATTTTGTAATGAAGAAAAGAGCACCAAGCTTTGCAAGAGAAAATGCTAATTTTAATAAATAATTCATTAATATAGCTCTCATTAAATATCGATATCAGGTATAGAATTTGAACTGTTTTTGTCCTCCAGATATCCAATGTAACCTATACAATATCAAAAATTTCTTAAAATACCGCTAAAAAATTATTTTTCTAACAACCAAGAAAAGAAGATTCTTTACAAAATCTAGCATTAACAAAATGCTTCAAATAATTTTGAGATCCAGGAGCACTGAAAAAAAATTCTGCCAAATAAGAAGGCTAAACTAAAGGGTCTCTTAAATTTCTTATGTTAAAATCTCATGAGCTGTAAATAAGCAGGATTATTACTTTTCTGCCAATGACCGTAATACATCAGCTTCACTCTGACGAAGAGAAGCAGATTTCCTGAGGGATTAATATTTAGAGTTCCTAACATGGGCCTTTAAGCCCCATCTGAAATTTGGAATATGCTGCCAATAATGTAAAGAGTTCATGTATCTCCATACCTCACCGAACACAATAAAAAATTCAAAAGTGCATCAACTAAATCCATCATTCTAACAAAGTTTAACTAAAATCTAAAAATACTGTCTCAAAAATGTCCTTTGCATGGAAAAATACATAGCCATTTACCTATTTTGATGCGAATACCACTGACACTGGACTTTCTGCGATTGACGTAAGACAGCAAGATGTTCTGTGGTTTGAGATCCCTGTGGATTATTCCTTTGCTGTGCAGAATTCGCATGGCAGCTGCAATCTGATGCAGAAATACTCTGATAGTATCTTCACTGAGAGTTCCTTTAACTGGCAGAAAAGGAGTCACATAAATTTTTAAGCACACAAAATCAAATACCATCTGCACATGCCATCAACAGAACTGAGTAGTTATAAAGAACAAGGAGGGAACTGGGATTCACATTTATTCTATTTCTTTGCTTCAATCATTTAAGTCTGTGAAGAGATATCGGATATCTCAAAAATTTTAACCAATCTGTTGTAAAGAGAACTGATTTATATTTCCATCTTTTGTTTTCACTGGTGTTCATTTTTTCTTTTCCTTTCTCATTTTTACTGCTATAGGGGCCCACATTACTGAGTCTTCTCTATAAGGGATAAAATAAGTTCCCCTTCATATTAGTCAAATACATGGGATAAACGTCCATAGTTAATTACAGCCATTATGTGATCACAAATTCCTTGAGCGACTTGGACATCATCACCACTTAGACCTGTTAGGGATGTGTTTTACCACATATCTGCCTCCTTTAATCTCCCTCAAAGCCCAACACCCCGTCCCACCACAGTATCTTTCATAACTAAAGACGCCTTTAAGAAAAAATGTTTTAACTTGTTTTCACTACTATAAAGAGGTAGTAGGAACACTATTTTTGAGGACAGTAGTTATTTAGCAAATACTACAGTGTTTATATGTATGTTGGAGCGTGTAATGGTTTACAGTTCAGTTTGGAGTTAGGGTGCCTTTGTTCTAATCCCGGCTCCTCCTCCTATTTACCATGCAACCCTAGAAGATGATCCCTCTGTGCCCACTCCTCATCTTTAAAAGGCTGAAAGTAGGTTAACAACATGAAGTTGCTATGACAATCAAACAAGATAGTACAAAATGAAGACTTTAGAAAAAGGCCTGGCACATAATGAGTATTGCCTACAAATGCAGTCAGTACACAAATGAAAACTCTTTATTATAATGAATCTAAAAGTCACAGTGTAATTCTTTCAAACTACATTAGGGATTTAATATACTCCACCTTATCTAAATACTTCTGCCCATACAATTCTAGAGTATGTTCTCTATAACCTTTCCAAATGCAATTAAGAAAGATAAAATAACACTCGGAGCAAGTGAAATATTGTGATCTTAAAATCATTTTAATGATGTTAACTGACACTTTGTTTTAACATCTTTAAATAAATCCCTATGGTTTAAAAATTATCAAATACTTTTTTCTGTGCGTGCTGTTCTTAACCTATCCCTATGTTTTAATTCTTTGGAGTTCTGTTCCTTATGCTCACCGTAAAAAGATTCGTAAACATTAAAACATATAAAAAATGAAAATCTTACATAATCTCATCCCTTGAAGATGAACACCTTAAATAAATATGGAGTGTATTTTTCCAGATCTACTTACTTACTGATGGCAACACATAAATTACTGCAGATTAGTGAATGGGTCAAAGCAACACTAGAGCTTGAATTCTGTAATGTTTTACTTAAATTAGGTTGCAATAATTAAAATAAATAATATGGAGTTTTCTCCATTTCATTCATTTACATTTACATTTTAGGGCTAAGAAAAATTTTTTGCTACTTTAAATGACTGTAGCTGCTTAGAACTTGCATTTTTGCCCCATGATACATTATTGAATATTGTTAAGATTTACTTCAGAGTCTAAATTCTAATGCTGTTCCCCTGGGAGGAAAAAAAATTAATGATCTAGATTAGTTTAGGCTCTTTCTGGGTGCAAACTGCAGTAAAAATTTACATATTTCTATGAACATGAGATGTGTAATTCTCAACACAATCCCATACTGAAATTCCCACATTAAAAACTTAATACATTGGGTTGGTTCCATAGAGTAGTGATTAGCACGTCTGCTTTACACGCAGAAGGTCTTGGGTTTGAGCCCCAGTGGAGCCATGGCCCATACCCCAGGTGCACCAGCCCCCCAGGTGTGCACCTCAAGCACATGAGGAGACACCCCACCTTCAGAGATCCAGTTCTTATGGGGAGACGGCAACATCCATAGGTCAGGGGTGGAAGTGGAGGGGAGGAGGTAATTAAAATTTAAAAAAAAAAAGAAAAAAACTTAATACATTAACCAATGTTACTCCAATGAACTTAATAAAAAAAACTTTTTTAAAACTTAATACAGGTCAGAAACATGGCGGAGTAAGAGATGTCCCCAGATCTCTACACTTGAAACAACAATAAGCTGAACATCTAAAACTCAACAAAAAACACCCAACCTGCAAACAAGCACGTCTGCGCATGGGATCTGTGCATAAGAGCTACCACAGGCCAGAACCCCGGGAGTCAGGTGGTAGAGTAGGAGAAACAAAGAAGCTGCCTCTCACAGCCAGAGCTCCCAGCAGGAGTAGGGGGAGGGGAGAAGGTGCAGAGGGTTCAATGAACGCACTTCCTGGAGAGCTGTAAGCTCCACGCAGAGACAGTGCCCAGGGATCAAGGCAGAAACCAGAGAAGTAGAGATGGCAGAGAAACAACAGTTGATTATGACCAGACTGCAGGAGCAAGGCTGAGCCCGCAGCCCCCATCTCCAACTTAGAGGACCCCTCCCCTCATATCCTCCAAGATCCAACGCCTCAAAGACCCAGTGGAATCTAAACAAACTCTAGCAAAACTGTCACTAACACTGACGGGAACTGTGACTGAGGGTAGCAAGCATGATTAAATATTTATAAGAAAAAAAGAGACATTATTAAGTCTTTATATAAAGCAGGGATCCAAGAGGCTTAGACGCCACATACTGGAAACCAAAAGAAAAATGCCACCTTAACAACAGATTAGAGACCTTTATACAATAAATCTTCTTTCTGAGAAAAAAAAAAAAAGCAGACTACACTTCCATTAATGTTCAGGTGGAGAAATAGTCCATTGAATACCATGAACAACCAAGGGGACAAGACAGCTAAGAAAGAAAGAAAAAAATCTCCAGAAAATAAGCTTACAGACATAGAAATATGTGACTTAAATGACAGAGAATTCAGGATAGTACTTCTGAAACTCAATGAGAAACAAACTCAATGAAAAACAAAACAATTCATATCAATAATTCCATGAACTTAAAAACAACTATATCAGCAGAATGGGTTTTTTAGCAAGGAGACTGAAACCCTCAAAAACAACCAATGGAACTTCTGGAGATGAAAGAACACACTGAAAGAGATGAAAAATGAAATAGCAAGCTTGGCAAAGAGTTGACCAAATGGAGGAAAGGATCAGTGATATCGAAAACAGAAATCTAGAAATAAATCAGAAAGAAAAAGAGAGAAACTGAAGAATGAAAAATAATGAAAGAGAAATACAAGAACTAGCTGATACCATCAGGAGAGGAAACATAAGAATAATGGGCATTCTCGAAGGGGAGGAAAAGGAGTAGGGATTAGAAAGCATTTTCAGACAAATAGTTGACAAGAATTTCCCAAATCTAAGGAATGAGCTGGAGCTTGGAATTCAAGAAGTCAACAGAACATCCAATTATCTCAACCCAAAAAGGCCTTCACCAAGACACACTGTATTAAAATTATCAAAAATCAATGACAAAGAAAGAATTCCCGCAGCCAAGGAAAAGAAGGCGGTAACTCTGAAGGAAAATCCATTAGATTATCATTGGACTTCTCAGCACAAACCTTACAAGCCAGAATCAAATATTCAAGCTTTTAAATGAAAGGAACTATCACCGAGAATACTGAATCCAGCAAAGCTCTCCTTTAGATAAGAAGGAAAATAAAGACCTTTCCAGACATACAAAAATTGAGGGAATTCTCCACTACAAGGCCCACATTACAGGAAATACTGAAAGGGGTCAGTCAGCTCACCTAAAACAAAATAACAAAAAAAAAAAACAAAAAAACCATCCTATAAGAAAAGCGACTAGCAGGCAAACAGAAGCAGAGGAGTACAACCATTATTAAGAACAGGGCATTATAAGCTTAAACAATAAGAAGAGATTTGCTATTGC